TTGGTAGATTGGTAGCTTGGTACCTTAATAGCTTGGTAGCTTGATAGATTGGTAGCTTGGTAGATTGGTAGCTTGCGAGATTGGTAGCTTGGTAGATTGTTAGATTGGTAGCTTGGTACCTTGATAGATTGGTAGCTTAGTACCTTAATAGCTTGATAGCTTGGTAGCTTGGTAGATTGGTAGCTTAGTACCTTAATAGCTTGGTAGCTTGATAGATTGGTAGCTTGATAGATTGGTAGCTTGGTAGATTGGTAGCTTGATAGATTGATAGCTTGATAGCTTGATAGCTTGGTAGCTTAGTACCTTAATAGCTTGATATCTTCGTAGCTTGATAGATCGGTAGCTTGTAGCTTGGTAGCTTGTAACTTAAATATTGAAAAGACTGAGCGAATTTACAGTTTATTCATATGTCTTGAAAAATAAAAATTCAAGCATTGGAACTTTTTCCCGAAATTGCAACAAACTTCTAACTTTTTAATTTTTATTCACGAGACTAAGCGTCCTATAAAGGAACTATAAACATAAAAAAAGTTTCGTCCCATCATCCCCTGTAAGCTGATATATTTTTTTAAATTGAATCAACTGATACGAACATTTCAACAGAAATTTTTCTTAATACCCAAAATAATAAACAAGAGTTATTGTTTCTCAGGCAAAGAAGAACGGAGAATAATAGAATCGAAGCGTCTAGCATTAATTTGAATAGAATTCTCGGGCACGTTGGTCGAGTTCCAGGTTGGTCCACGGATCTCCTACGTCCGCCGAGAGAAATTGGAAACGTTATCGGCCATCTCGGCCAAGAAAAACGTCGTCCAATCGCGTGGAAAGAAAAAAAGAAGCGAGATAAATTCGAGGGGAGGAAAGAAGAAAGCGAAGGGGGACCGAGAAAGGGTCAGAGGGCACTGTCCTGTGCCAAGGGGCACACGGCCGGGCCACGGAAATATTTGCATTTCCTGTTCACGATGAATAATGCCGCGCGTAGGAACCGCAGACGACGTTGAATGAACTCGCCAATCTTCAAAATTTCCATTGCAACCAACAACTTATATAAAAGCTCTGGTCACTGAGTTCAGGTCCTACAACCTTTCTTGTATAATTTTCTGCCAACCAGTGTTCGACATTTTATTTTAATTCCGCAATTAATAGTGGTGTGGAATTATATAGGTACTTTTTCGAGAATAACTCGTTAAACATGAGACTTTCGAGAATTGTACAAGGGGGCTTTTTTGTGGAGAATTAAATTGTCTACGAAAAAGTCTTATGAGTCAAAGTTGTATGATCGATACGTCTCGAATTATGTAGCTTGATATCGAAATTTTTATTTGAAATAGGAGTAAAAATCATATAGATAGTTTTTGGACCGTAACTCGTTAAATATTGATTTCTCGAAAATTATGCAAAGAGCCTTTTTTGTAGAGAATTGAATTATCTATGAAAAAGTCTTATGAGTCAAGTTTGTATGATAAATACTTCGCGAATTATATAGCTTGAAATAAGTAATGAAAACTAATGTAGGATCATGTAGGTAGTTCTTGGACCGTAACTCGTTAAATATTGATTTCTCGAAAATGATATAAGAAAGCTTTTTTGTAGAGAATTGAATTATCTACAGAAAAGCTTTATGAGTCAAGTTTGTACGATCAATATTTATCGAATTACATAGCTTGACATAAGTAATGAAAACTGATGTAGGATCATGTAGGCAGTTTTTGGACCGTAACTCGTTAAATATTGATTTCTCGAAAATGATATAAGAAAGCTTTTTTGTAGAGAATTGAATTATCTACAGAAAAGTCTTATGAGTCAAGTTTGTCCGACCAATATTTCCCGAATTATATAGCTTGAAATGAGTAATGAAAAC